TTTTTTTTTTTTTTTTTTTTTTTTTTTTGAACGATGGAACCGTCGCTCGTATTGCTTTCTCAATTCGATCGAACGTCTTTTACGTGTTACGTATTTCTTTGATGTGCACGTTGATACAGTTTCGGGAAACGTTTAAGGAACGCAGCAATTCGATGTATGTAATACGTTATTAATTTTAAGATATACGCATATGCTACAAAAGAGTTTTACGATTATTGCATTGTCGGATAGGATCGGAAGAGCGAGAGATTATATTGCCGCTCATCAATATCTGGACTATAATACGCGTACGGATGATATTATAGATTATGCCTTGTAACTATAAAATTACTCTCAACATTCAATTTCTATTTTCCAATGATCAGAAGTGATACTTTCAACAAATAATAATGAATTTTTTAATTATTTGGGCGAAAGTCGATTAATCTATTTACGTTACGTAATTTATCAACACATAATCTTTGCTTGCCAACTCTGCAATTGAATTACATCATTTTAAAAATAAGCACACGTCCGGATACTTTTAAGCGGATATATATGTATGCATGCATGTGTGTATGTTACGTGTGTTGAGAACAAATAGCTGACCGACAGCCGAGATACTAAAAAAAGGACTTTCATGGATATAGAGTAAGCTAAGGAAGATCCAGTGGGCGACCGATGATACGAAACGCGAGAAACCCTATGAAAAGGGAACCTTATCATAGAAATTACATTTTCGAATCGTCGTTGATGGATCACAATAGCTTGCGAATGCCTTTCTTTTCACTTATCGATTACTGTCCTTTTCAACTTATACATACACTTAAATGCCGGTGCAAAATGGGTTGCGTGTATCAGTCACTGACGGTGTTAGAAACGAGATGATCACCAGCATAAGAGATGATAAGCCACATTTTTATGAAGGATAAATTTTAAAATTCAATATGTTGTCAATTACTTTCACACTCTTTCTCACTTCAAACTGACTCACTTTAAAGACCCCGAATTAAAGCCACTTATTTATCAGAAGGCTCGTTTCTTCCGTTGTTCAATTACATTCTTAAATTACCAAGTAAGACGGAAATGAGAAGATTATCGATAAAAATGGACTTATTATAGCTTGCCGGTGTGATCTTGAAACGAGGCGGCACGGATAGGCTGTTGCGGATAGATGGAATAATTTAGTCAGGTCTGTCCGACGAAAGCTGCGTGTTGGAGTTGCAGTTATTTTTGCAACACGTCGAGTACAGTCGAATGCAGAAATCCCGCCTTCAAGTACCATCGCGTTTCCAAGTTTCTGATCCCGAGGTTTTCGATTGTAACAGCGGTCCAAAGAAAACAGTGTACGTGCCAATAACGAGTCCGTTAGATAAGGTAATGT